TAAAATCCAACGCAGGTTCTCAGCACAGCAAATTTGCAATGACAATCGGTACCTGTGTGTCAAGGCCTTACTACATCGACTGGAATGGCAGCACTGCTCGGTCTGGTTGTGCTTGAGCAGCTGCGGCGACACCGCGGAATTCCTCCATGTGGAAACGAGTCAACAAATCGGCAATGCAGTTAGACTGGCCAGCAACGTGAGCAGCAGTGATGGTGAATTTGAAGCGGGCGCACACAAAGAACAGCTCCCTGAGCAGGGTCCTCACTGGCGGTGACATGAATGTGGCGGAGCGGATGCAATTTACCACAGCCTTGTTGTCACAGTGCATTGTGATACGAAGCTGGCACCATTCCTTCCCCCAGGTGCAGCAAGCTGTGACCAAACCGTAGTGCTCCTTCCACTCAATGTTGTGAGCGAGTTTCGCAGGCAACCAGGTCTCTTGAAGCCAGCGGCTGCTGTAGAATGCGCCCCAACCCAGTGTGCCGCTGGCATCAGTGAACAGCTCCAAGTCTGGAGATGGTGTCTCATCTGGGAACAGCAATAATGACTTTCTGTTCCATTATTCCAGGAGCCTAAGCCACCATTGAATATCTTCCTGGCACTCGGTAGTCAGACTGATGCGGTAGTGAGGCTGCTGGTTGTGACTGTAAATAGACCCAAATATCCGGCCGGTAACGATGACTCCTGCAGTGAAGGAGAGTTTCCCCAGAAGAGATTCGAGTCCGCGCTGGCACATGGTGAGGTTGATGCTCGCTGGAGTCAATAGGCGCTTGATGTCAGCCTAATTGTCGTCAGGTGTCAGGCTTCCAACTTCTCACAATCCATGATGCTCATGAATGTCAGGATACGAGACGGGCCTTCCACCTTTGCAGGTGTGAGCGGGACTCCGAGGTATGACCACTCACGGAGGAGAATAGCCAGCTGCCGAGTCGCCACTGCTCGGCCCGCGTTCACGCATAAGTAGTCGTCCAGGAAATGCAACAAATTAGGAATGGAGAATTTGTGGTGCATTATCCATTCGATGGTGTTTGCCACGGCATCAAATGCCGCCGGGCTAGAGCGGAGCCCAAATGGCAAGACACGATCGTAGTTGTACTTCCCCTGCCACAGGACACCGAGGAGATGCCAGTTAGGTATTGTTGCGAAAAGCGCTCTTCACATCAAGTTTATAGAGATGGACAGGAGACAGGGAGGACATATTGATGTTAATGGCTTCATCATTGCTGATGTACTGCGAAGAGAAATGCTCGCCGGCCGTTAACGCTGGAGCCAGCAGGGCTGGACAGGGGGTGTATCAAGTGTAGCTTGCCATTCATTTTTGGAACGACGCCAATGCCAGAGCAGTACATAAATGGGAATGTGGGTGAATCAAACGGGCCAGCCATGTAGCCAGCATTGCAGGAACCAGTGAGCTGTGTGCTGATGAGAGGTTTGACGAGTGATGGTTAGTTATGCAGTTGCCGGTAAAGCCAATGTCAAAGCCGCAGCGGAGGCTGTTAATAACATACGAAGCCAATGAACTGTCAGGGTGGCTACGGAGCAGTAGTTTGAAGCGAGAAACAGAGAGAGAGGTGTGTGGACAGCAGTACATGCGCTTGTGAAGTCAGTAGAACTTGAAGTGCAGGGAGAAATATTTACAATCGCGGTAGCTTGCAGCCGAAGCAGCAGAGTTACTGGCGCCTACCGCACTTGGAACCGACATACAGACATGGGCGTACTTGCACATGCCCAGACTGCAACGCCCAGCATTAAAGTTGCGGCAGATTGGTTGGTCATTAGACACCGTACGGACTCCGTTGAAGGATTGCTGGTTGCTACGTTGGGGACGAAAGGTACACTGGCTGCCTGCGGGATGTACGAGGCGGCATGACTCACATGTGGTACTTGATCGGCTAGTCTCTGGCATTTGCCTCAGATTAATGTCGATGACGTCGAAGCGCTTGCCTGCCTGACCAGCAATGGCAGAGAAAAACTGGTTGTAGTACTACAGCCAAGCCTCCAGATAGTATTGCCTGTTGGCAGCAACAATGGTAGCTTGGTATGAGAGCATCTCCTGTAGGCGGGACAGGTTGGCAGACCACACGACAGTCATAAAGAGAGTCCATGCCTCCAGCCATGTCGACAAGTCGTGAATACGTCGACGAATGGGCTGGGTAGCGTCACCTTCCACCACCTCCAAAGACTTGCCGCCACTGCTGAACTGCAACTGAAGCTGGCGTGGAGCAGAATACGAGGTTGCCATGGCATCGTGCAGCAGCTGGGTGAAATGTACAAAGTCACCCTTCATTATTTTCTCTCGTAAAGTCTGGGGAACGGCGAGATTACCAGGGTTCGAAGACTCCGCCCAAGGTTGAGTTCCAGATCCAGGGGCAGAACTGGTGACCAGCATTGGAGAGATGGCCTCCGACAAGGCAACATTGACGGCGGAGTGTACTTCCTGCCGCACAATCTGGTACAAATCGACATTCCTACTCCGGTCTTGGACCAGAGGACTCGGAGAGGCTGCTGCAACACTCTCCAGATCCTGCTCTTGTTCCTGCTCTGGCGCGCGCTGCAAGGATGCCGTGGCCGACGGGACTAGAGGTTCCCGTGCTTGACGTGTCCTCGATACTGAGCAGCAAACGGGCAAGTAGCGTTGGGTTTGTTCCGCTCGAATTGAGCCCACGGCCTTCCAGCTCGGCCCGGAAGTCCGACACTTTCATACGACATGCTTCAGAGGTAAACAACATGTTTGTCGTGCTGTAAATGGCTGCGAGAGAACTACAAAGAGTCTCAATAATCGAGAGAGCTTAGAAGCTGTGTGGACCCTGGCTAGCGCCAGACGTTACTGATGTAACTTCTTTTGCATAGCTACAGGAATAATTCTGTTCTCCAAGCAAAAAAATTCCGGTGGCTGCTCAGTACCACTGCAAAGGAAAGCACAAGCCTAGGTGAGCACAGCAAGAGCTACTCAAGGTGATTTGGGCACGCATGCACAGCAGTTGAGTGCGCCTGTAAAGCCAGCTCAGTCGCAGCACGAAATAGAGAGCAGCGCATCGGTCTTATCGCTAACTAGGGTAAGCCCAAAAGCTAACCCAACATTTAAAATTAAAAAATGTTCCACTGATGATAGTCACGAGAAAACATTTTTTTTCATTTTACTTCCTCCGTATACAAAAACTTCGTGACTTTTTTTCAACCGTGTTTTTGAGCAAGAACCTGCTCAGCGAACCGCACCAAAGCCTGTCATCGACAACCTACATTCAGGTTGAGGTAAGTTTGGTTGATCCTGTCATCCTGAACAGATTCTCCGCGGAAGCCATGCGTGTGAGGACATTGCCGACAGGAACTCACGTCAAATTTTTTAAAAAAAGCTATGCATTTCACCAGAACTCCAGCTCCCTTCTATCCCTCTCTGATCCCCTTCGCTCAGCCTTAAACCTGCCTTGTGTCTCCCAGTCATCATACCTTATACGACTATCAGTTCTCTCCCTCTTCCTTACCCACGGTGCACTGTTTTTTTACTATTGTGTTATGTCACAATTATCTCAATCTCAAATTCTCTCCATTATCGTTTGCAAATGTCCTTCCCTCTTGGGTGCACATGTTCTTTTCTCCTACGTATCGGCACACATGAGTAACGATGAATCCGAGACCTTTGGTCAGAGGAGTTACTTTTGCCCCGCCCCCACTTCCATCCAATATGCCACCACTACGCTTTGCAGCATCTGATGGTTCTGTCGTATTCAGTGAAAAATAAATAAATAAATAAATAAAATATAAACACTAGCAGGCAATCTTGGCCACACCAAACATTACACGTTACTTGAACCATTTCTACCTAATAGGACTTCCGCTACCCTAGGCAGACCCTGACGGAGTTTGGAGGCCAGCTACCTCTCGGCGAGGAGAGAACCATTCGCGTGGCGATCGACTCTCCGTGAAAAATACAAGCTACATAGCGCCGACATACTGCAACAGCTACGATTTCAACTAACTTCTCGATCGCTGCTTCACAAAGTTCAACTACCGGTATTTAAAAGTCCTGACTGTTGAAGTCTGAAGCTGGAGTCTCATCGCCCACCTACAGGTAGCTTTTGGAGCTGATGGATTTCCCGACTTGGACTCCTGCCGCAAACTCTCGCAACATTACTGCAGTGTATGCAGTGTTTCCGCACGCTCGTGTCGACATGTCACCTATACTGTACATGTACCGGGTCGCGGAGGAGCTTGACGACGTCCGCTGATTCCAGGTTTCTGAAATACTGCTGTTGTCTTCGTTGATGTCGCTGGTGACATTCTCCCCTTGCAGGGCGTGCGCATAGTTGGCGTCCCGGGGGTAAAGACTATGTTGTTTTTCGAATAGTTCTTCATCACGCTCGCACAAATGATGTTTCTCATCATGAACTCGTTCCGACGGTGTGACACGGTGATGGTCTTTGGCGTGGCACTGGCTTGGCGAATACGCTATCTTCTTGTGCAATAAAACATTGATCGGCTGCAGATGAGTACCGTCACTTTGTGGTTGGTTCTATAGGAGGGCACCTGCCAGGAAAGAGGCAGGACTTATCGAAGACGAAGCGCTCGCAACAAACAATAGCACTCGAAATATCTCGTGAGATTCACGGCCTATCGCACAGCGCTCACAGCCTTGCCTACTGCATCAAAGTGAGCTCTACATGTTCGTTGCCCTCTCCACACTACACAGAAGAGCAAAAAAAGGATTATGTCTTAGCATTTCAACTCCAACAGCAGACCATTACCAGTGTGAGAGAGAAAACTACAAAGGGCTTTGCTTTCTGTCGCATTGTCTCTCTTGCATGCAACTAACGAGAAAAAGGTGGGCTTTGCACAGCAAAGTTAGCCCATGCACACGCATACTGGTTGTTGTCGCCACTCACCTGTTCTGTAAATGTTTCAAGACAGCCTCTTGAATGATTCTCGTTTTGACCTTACCTTGTCTGTTTATTTATTCATCTTCCTCTGTCTCTGAGTCTCATTGCTGCGAGCGGGCACGTGGAGATGCTCCAGTTTTCAGCCATGCTATTGTTCTACTGACGCTGATAATTGGAATCATAATTCTCTCCTTCTGTCTAGTCGTGTTCTACTCTGCTTCTCTGTCTCTCTTCTATTCTGTTTCTGCTTCGAACGTGTAGTTGTTTGAGCTGCTCTCATGATAATTTATTTGTACTTTTGAAACCCTTTGTACCCGCGATCATGCGCTTGTACAACTACGCTGTGCTGTATGACTGAGCTATGACTATGAGTCATGCTCGCACTAGCTATGATGCCTTTTGTGTCACGTGTCCGTGTATGTCGTGGCGCAAGCGCGCTGTGCCTTTGCTGGCCCTTTTTGCTTCCTTTTGCAGTTTTGGTTTTAGAGTTATGCCGGTTATGGTTGAAGTGTGTTTGCAAGGAGAAATCCAGAACGTCTAGTAATGGTGTGTTGTCCCATTTGCGTTCGGAGAGTGTGCCTGTGCACGTGTATCGGAATTTTGAATTCTTGCCTGGAACATTTGGTCCTTCGAGCCTTACTTCGACTCAACCTTGTAGCTTCAGTACAGTCTTCTTTCGTAGTGTCAATTTGTTTGTTTGTGATTGTCAATTTTAGTCCGGCCGCAGTTTCAGTGACTGTCAGTCTAGTAGTAGTGTCACAATGTCTGACCAGGAGCTGCGTCGGAGCAGCAGGACTAACGCTGGAATACCCCCCGATAGGCTGGGAGAGTGGGAGCCCGCCGCTGGACACGATGCCCCACTGACACCTGTGTCAAACCGAAGTGTTGCAGCCTCAAAGTCTGCTGCGTCGTCCAGCTCTGCAACTCGCCGGCGACTGCTTCGAGCGCAGGCTCAGCTAGAAGCAGCGAAGAAAATTCAGGTGCTCGAGGAGCAGGAGCTGGCCCGCAAAAAGACGCTGGTCGATTTGGAACTGAAAGCTGCGCTGGCAGAAATTGCAGACGCCACCAGCAGAGCAGGCAGCTCAGTCCGTAGTGGTCTTCCTGGTGCTGCCGGTAGCAATACCAGTGGGAGTGTGGCACTGCAGCCAGCCCTTGCCACTGCTGTCCACACCAGTAAAGTGGCACGGGTGGAAGAGTGGGTGAGGACCCAAGGCGTTTTCTACGTCCCTGATCAGACGCCCAGTGTTGCCACAGCGCAGTCCGCTTGTGCCGCTTTGGCGAGTGTCTCGTCCACCCGGGAGCTGTTTGCGCAGCGCAGGACCCAGCCAGGCATTCTGCACCAGCCTGCTTCTCAGTATGTAGCGTCTCCGGCGGTACGCCAGTCAGCGCCAGCTCCTGCGGTACGCCAGTCAGCACCAGCTCCGGCTGTAGGCCAGTCAGCGCCAGCTCCTGCGGTACGCCAGTCAGCACCAGCTCCGGCTGTAGGCCAGTCAGCGCCAGCTCCTGTGGTACGCCAGTCAGCGCCAGCTCCTGCGGTAGGCCAGTCAGTGCCAGGTCCAGTAGCCCGCTTGAACGCGGAGGCAGCCCCATTTGTGACCGTGCCCATGACGAGCCTCGGTGATTCGCCAGGTGCTAGGGAGCTGCACCTCCAACAACAGCTAGATCGTACGCGGTCCGAGCTGGTAATGACAGAGCAAGCGCTGCACCAGACATTGGGTCAGGTCCCGCAAGCCAGTCCACTAACTGCGCGCGCTCCACCTGCACCACCTGAACGCCAGCCGGCCAGCACTAACGAGTTCTTGGCTCGCCAGACCATGGGCAGGGACTTGCCCACGTTCTCTGGCCAACCGGAGGAGTGGCCGTTGTTTTTTAATGTGTACCACTCCACCACCACTGCGTATGAGTTCACGGATGCAGAGAACCTCATCCGATTGCAGAAATGCCTGCGCGGCAAGGCGAAGGAAGCAGTGGTTGGCCTGCTTACCGTCCCCGGCAACGTCGACCAGGTTCTGCGGACTTTGGAGCTCCGGTTTGGACGTGCTGTTCTGGTGATCAGCACGCTCATCCACAAGGCCAAGAGCCTGAGCTCCATCCGAGCCGATGATTTTGACGCCCTCATGGTATTCGCCACTGCCGTGCAAACTTTGGTGTCAACCATGCAGCTGCTGAGGACACCAGGCCACATGTTGAACCCGCAACTTCGGCAGGAGCTGGTGAGCAAGCTACCAGCAAGTCTGCGCCTCCAGTGGGGAGACATTGTCCGTAGTATGCCACCTGATGATGTCAGTATTGCAACGCTATCTTCTTGGCTTCAGCAGGTAGCCCTCTCTGCATCATACATCCACATCCCTCGACCGTCCGCCACGGACCACAGGCCACCGCCTCGTCGAACGGACCCGTCACTCGCCACAACGACCAGCAGCAGTGGAAGCAGCGATCGCTGCGATTTCTGCAACGGTCGCTCCCATGCTACTACCGAGTGCAGAACGTTCCTGGGCCAGTCAGTACGTAGTCGCTGGAAATGGGTCAAGGAGCAAAGACGTTGTTTTACATGCCTCCGTAAGGGTCATCGTCTGCCAGACTGCCCACGCCCGACGGAGTGTCCTGTTCACGGCTGCAGCAAACGCCACCACAAACTCCTGCACTCTGACGCCTCAGATACCGCAGGTGAAAGAGACGAGACACACCTGTGTGCCGTGACAGAGCAGACGGGTGAAGTAATGCTGCGTGTGGCACCGGTCACCTTGCACGGCCCAGCCGGCGATGTCAGAGTGTGCGCTTTGTTCGATGAGGCTTCCACCGTCACTCTGGTTGACTCATCCCTGGCCACGGAAGTCGGTGCCACTGGCACGGTGACCCCGCTCACCTTGTCATGGACGGACACGCAGCGGCAGCGGCACCCCAAATCTCTGTGCGTCGACCTAGAGATTTCTGGCGATTTCGGGGAGCTCCATCCCTTGCTCGGAGCAAGGACGGTCACCAACCTGCGCCTGCCATGCTCCGTAACGTCTGTGGATCGTGTGCGGAAGTCCTGGACCCATCTTGCACACGTCCCTGTCAGCAAATTGCACGAGCGGCCCAGACTCTTGATTGGGCAGGACAACATCAACCTCACCATCAGCCGTGAAGTAGTAGAAGGCCCGCCGAATGCTCCGGTCGCAAGCCGAACATTACTTGGTTGGGTGGTACATGGACACTTCGGCAGCCATCGCAGCAGAGTGGACGAGTATTTCACCTTGGTCCATTCCACCAGCGCTGACGACGAATTGCACGACCTAGTCAAGGACAGCTTCCGTACCGACAACTTCGGCGTTCAAGTCACTACCAGCTCGCTTCTCAGTGAGCGGGAGAAGCGTGCTCAGCATATTCAGGTTGCAACCACCCAGGGCAGCTCATGCGGCACTAGGTGGGAGACGGGTCTCCTGTGGAAGGAGGACAATACCACAATGCCTAGCAGCAAAGCAGCTGCCATGACGCGGCTTCTTTCTCTCGAGAGGAAGATGGTGAGACAGCCTGAATTCGCCCGTCAGTACAGTACCAAGCTTGAGCAGTACGTCGCCAAGGGTTACGCCGAGAAGCTGACACCAGAATTAGCTGCACATGAGCCGCCTGCAGCATGGTACCTTCCCCACTTTGGTGTGACGAATCCGAATAAACCCGGAAAGCTGAGATTGGTCTTTGACGCGGCATCAAAGACAGGTGGGAGGAGCCTTAATGATGCACTGCTCTCCGGGCCAGACCTGCTCCGTCCACTGCCAACGGTTCTGTTCGGTTTCCGGGAGCGCCGTATTGCGTTCGGTGCCGACATTGCCGAAATGTTCCACCAGGTTCAGATCCGTGAAGCTGACCGAGACAGCCAACGGTTCCTGTGGCGGACCGATCTGAGTCAACCACCTGATGTCTTCAGGATGAAGTCAATGACATTTGGCGCGACATCGTCCCCTTCATCGGCAATGTTCGTTAAGAACCACAATGCTCACAGCCACCCGCAGACGTCGCCTCGGCTGCAGACTGCCATAGTCGAGCGTCACTACATGGACGACTACTTTGACTCAACAGACACCGTTGAAGAAGCCACCGCACTGTCTGCTGACGTCATCCGCATCCACAAGGACGGAGGCTTCGTCATCCGTCATTGGATCAGCAACTCGCCAGCCGTTCTGGCATCTGTACCAGAAGCGCTAAGAGCCAACACAACAACCGCTGACCTTGATGTTGAGCATGCCCATGCTGTTGAGCGAACGCTTGGCCTGCGCTGGGACACAGCGACAGACACGCTATGAGTCCAGCCAGCCGCAGCAAAGATCAACCGCCCTGGAAAGTCCATGACCAAGCGGCAAGCTCTCAGCACAGTGATGGCGGTGTTTGATCCGCTCGGACTACTTGCCTGCTTCACCATCCGAGCCCGAGTACTACTACAGGACATCTGGTGCTCTGGTATCGGCTGGGACGATGAGCTGCCCACTTCTATCAAGGTCAGGTGGGATGAATGGTGCCAAGACTTGCAATCGCTTTGCAAAGTCAACATCCCACGCTGCTACTCACTAGCTGTTGCCGACGCTACCAGTATTGAGCTGCACACGTTCTGCGACGCGAGTGAGAAAGCTTTCGGTGCTGCCTCATACTGGCGTTTTCAGTTGAGCAATGCGTCCGTCGCAACATCGTTAGTGATGGCGAAGACCAGAGTGGCGCCACTCAAGCCACTGTCCATCCCTAGACTCGAGCTGCAAGCTGCCGTTCTGGGCGCACGCCTATCGTCAGCTGTTCTGCAGCATCACAGCTTCGACTGCTGCAAGTCCGTTCTGTGGTCCGATTCTCAGACCGCCCTGAGCTGGATACGAGCTGATGCCAGGTGCTACAAGCCGTTTGTGGCACACCGCGTCGGCGAGATCAAGGAGCTCACCAACGAGTCCAACTGGCGCTGGGTACCCACTGCTGACAACGTAGCCGATGACCTCTCCCGCGGCGTACCTGTTATGGAAATCGTCGAATCGACACGTTGGCTGCAAGGGCCCGACTTTCTGCGCAACCAACCAGCTAGTTGGCCATCCGCCGCTCCTGAAGTGGAGCCAGAGGACACGGACCCCGAGCTGAAGCGAGAGTTCTGCGGGGCCACTGTCGCCACGACGTCCCTGCAGGAAGCTCTCCCCGATATCGCCAGGTTTTCATCATGGATGCGTCTGGTTCGCACCACAGCCTGGGTGACCCGCTTCGTTGAGCGCCTGAAGGCTAGAGTTGCCAAGAAAGCCGTGAATCCCAGTAGCGAACTGTTGCCATCAGAGTTCCGACACGCCCAGCAGCTCTGGTGGGAGAACGTGCAGCAACAGTCGTTCCCTGACGAACTCGCCGCGCTGCAGCAGGGCAAGCCAGTCACCCGCAGCAGCCGCCTGGCATCGCTGACGCTGACCCTATTGGACAGCACCATAGTGGTTCACGGGAGAACAGACAACACGCCTCACTTGTCTGAGTCTACAAAGCGTCCAGTGTTACTACACCCGATTACTCATCCTGCAGCACCACGTCTGGGCAGGTCATCAAGGGCAGGAACAAGTTCGGAACGATTTACGCCAGCAGTACTGGATTCCCAGATCTCGAGCCGCTGTTCGCCGTGCCTGGAACTCCTGTTTGAGGTGCCGTCACTTCGCAGCCACACCGCAGCCACCGGTAATGGCGCCGCTACCGGAGTGCAGAACCGCAGCGTATGAGCGCCCGTTCTCCCACACGGGAGTTGACTACTTTGGTCCAATTGAGGTGACTGTCGGGCGTCGACGCGAGAAACGATATGGCGTTCTATTTACGTGTTTGACCGTTCGAGCCGTGCACCTGGAAATAGCCTCCAGCCTGACAACCGACTCGTGTATCATGGCGATCCGCCGCATGATCGCTCGGCGCGGATACCCTGCTGTACTGTATTTGGACAATGGCACGAATTTCAAAGGAGCTGAACGGGAGCTCGCAGAGGCGATTGCAGCGCTAGATGTCGGTGACCTCATGCGTGAGCTGACGCCCAGAAACATCAAGTGGGTCTTCAACCCTCCTGCCGCGCCCCACATGGGTGGCGCTTGGGAGCGCTTAGTGCGCTCAGTAAAGATCGCCCTGAAAACGACTCTCAAGGAACGGACGCCACGTGACGAAGTGCTGACCACCGTCATGGCCGAGGCCGAGTGCATCGTAAATGGCCGGCCACTGACACACGTTTCTATCGACCATGCAGATGCCGAGAGTCTGACGCCGAATCACTTTTTGCTTGGCGGCAACCACTGAGCTGTTGCGCCAGGGAAGTTTGATGAGAAGTGCCTGAGGAAGCAGTGGCGGATTTCCCAGGCCATGATCGATATGTTCTGGCAGCGCTGGGTCCGAGAGTATCTCCCCACGCTAACGCGCCGGACCAAGTGGTTCAAGGCGGCAGAACCGATCAAAGTTAACGACGTTGTCGTCATTGCTGATCCACAGTTGGCCCGAAGCTGCTGGCCGAAGGGCATCGTGGAGAATGTGTACCCCGGAAAGGATGGCAAGATCCGCATTGTGGACGTCCGCACAGCGATGGGAACGTTCCGTCGCCCGGTGTCGCGCATCTGCGTGCTTGATGTCCGTGCATGAGTCATGTGTTGGCTAACTGCATCCGTTAGCAGGTGGGAGAGTGTTGTCGCCACTCACCTGTTCTGTAAATGTTTCAAGACAGCCTCTTGAATGATTCTCGTTTTGACCTTACCTTGTCTGTTTATTTATTCATCTTCCTCTGTCTCTGAGTCACATTGCTGCGAGCGCGCACGTGGAGATGCTCCAGTTTTCAGCCATGCTATTGTTCTACTGACGCTGATAATTGGAATCATAATTCTCTCCTTCTGTCTAGTCGTGTTCTACTCTGCTTCTCTGTCTCTCTTCTATTCTGTTTCTGCTTCGAACGTGTAGTTGTTTGAGCTGCTCTCATGATAATTTATATGTACTTTTGAAACCCTTTGTACCCGCGATCATGCGCTTGTACAACTGCGCTGTGCTGTATGACTGAGCTATGACTATGAGTCATGCTCGCACTAGCTATGATGCCTTTTGCGTCACGTGTCCGTGTATGTCGTGGCGCAAGCGCGCTGTGCCTTTGCTGGCCCTTTTTGCTTCCTTTTTGCAGTTTTGGTTTTAGAGTTATGCCGGTTATGGTTGAAGTGTGTTTGCAAGGAGAAATCCAGAACGTCTAGTAATGGTGTGTTGTCCCATTTGCGTTCGGAGAGTGTGCCTGTGCACGTGTATCGGAATTTTGAATTCTTGCCTGGAACACTGGTGGTGGAGTGCTGCGAGTGAGTGTCACGTGACCACCTCGTGACTAAGCCCCGTGCACAGCGTGTGGCCTGTCAAAATATTATGGACAGTCGTGGAGGCGGCGTCTAATTATTTGGAGATGTGTTTTGCGGAGCTGTCTTTGTGCGAAGGAGCGTTCTTTGCGGTTGCAGTGAACGTTTTTTTCCTTCCGAGGTTTTCCCTTTTCTCCGTTAGTTGCTCGACGTGTCGCGATCCACAGCATGGCTGCGCGAGCTCCTCCTGCTGCTGCAGCACCCCCTGCTCTCTCGGCAACGCCAGCTCCGGCGCCCGGGTTTTCTCCTGGCCAAATGGCAACCCTCCAGGCCTTGATCGCCACATAGGTCCAGGCGGCTGTTAGAGCCATCGCCCCTGCAGCCTCGGATCAGGCGGAGTCGACACGCCGTCCGTCCCACCCGGCTGCCCCTGCCAACACTGCCGATCCTCGGGTGCAAGTGGAGGAGTCGTTTCCCACAGGTACGGGTATGTGTAGTAGTAGATCCACACGTGCGCCTCCTAGTGGTAGCCCCCTGCCCCTGTGGCTGCGTTGACTACTGTCGACGGGCTGTCTCTCCCTAGTGGTGTGACTATCCATAGCTCTCGTGTGCCTACTCCTAGTGTGAATATCTCCAGCAGTCTCGCATACAATGATTATGTGTGTAACCCTAGTGCTGTCAATGTCGGGTCCCGTAAGACCTCGGTCACACTACGGCAAGTTTGAAGCTGGACGCAGCGTCAACACGCAGCACTTGACGCAGTCGCGGGGTCACACAGTGTTTTTTTTGCAGCTCATGACTGCCGCGGCCTGACGCATTTGTCAACGTCACAAAATCACCAGGGAAACTCAATGACGACATGGATTCCCACGGAAGCCGGCCTTTTGTTTATTATACAAAAAATTGTCGCACAAAATTTTCAAAATTTTCATTGATTCTTCATTATTACAAGAAGACGAAAGGTCCATGCGTGCACGATTGTTGTGGTTTCTTTTCGAATTATTTGCATCGCAGCTGTGTTTCTCCTGACTTTGTCATAGTGGTTCTCCTTTTTTGGGGCTCTTGGTGGCAACAACAACACTCACAAGTCAACAGGCTGCAGTTGAGCGATGACCCACTCATACTACTGTCCTTTTTCAATATCATTTTCTTCTCAGAAAGCGCCTCGCTCTTCCGCCAGGTTCAGAGCAGAGCAGCCTCAGCCTCGAGGTCCACAGGCTCATCTCGAAAAAAGGGAGGGAACAAAGCAAACCTTGAAGAGACGAATGTCGAAAGACTGCTCAACTCAAGCAACTGCCTTGAAAGACACTGTTTTTCCGCCAAGCGTCACTTCCATCAGCGGCAACGCAGCTGATTTCCCCACGTCAGACGCAGCAGCGTCTGACGCTCAAATTTCCCGTGTTTGCGTCAGTTGCTATGGAAAAGCTCATCATTCTGACGCTGACGCAGCATTTTTGCCGTAGTGTGATCGAGGCATAATGGGGTGACTGACCACTTGCCCCGCAGTACGTACGACAAGGTGCTACGCGGGAAATATGTGGAGCTTGCGTTGTTCCTCACCCCCTCGCGGATGAGCCAGCCACGAAGCGAGTCCAGGTGTCAAAGGTGTCAGTGGCCAGCTAGTTCTCTCCCTGTCCCTGTCATTCCGCCGCAAGCTGGAGAGCCTGCCCATTTGGCTGGAGGCGTGGTAAGTGTATTGTGCAGTGATCTGCGACACCCAACCCGCAAGGGCGCAGTCGCTGATCACGTATCAGATTCGTATCATCCAAGCGGCGAAACGATATAGGTAGTTGGCGGTGTGCCAATACGACGAGGAGTTCCGTCGGAAACTCACCCACAGCCCTAGCGTGCAGTGGGATGTGGTTGACCAGGACCTTTACACCCGATGCTTCACAGGCCAGGCGCTCGTTCTCTTCCCGCTCTGCAAACGTCTCAGCCACACCACCAAGACTTGCACCTCCCGGGATCAGCGCGAGCCTGGCACGACCCAGCCAGCGTGCGAGCTGTACAACAAGGGCCGGTGTAATTTTCGGAACTGTAGATATCGCCACGTCTGCAGACGTTGCCACCCGGTGCGGGGCGCACGCCGGCCAGTGAGGCCCCGGCTAGTCTGTATCCTGGCTTATCCACACACACACACCTCACCTCCTGTTGTTTTTAATGCATTCGTGTCTGATTCGCACACACATACACACCATGCCTTACCCTTGCACACCCCTCACACTCCAATTGTTCTGTAGGCATTAAAAATTGAATTGGTCGCACACCCTGATCCTGCATATGTTGCCCATTTGTTAGATGGTTTATGCTATGGTTTTAGAGTTGGCAATGACGGTCCCCGTTATTCTTTCCTTTGTGAGAATCTTGCTTCGGCATTTGTTTCCCCTGCTTACCTCGCTAAATAGATTCAGCTTGGTCATATGGCCGGTCCGATTTGGCAACCCCCGTTCGCCAACTCCCGTTCGGCTGGCATCGGTGTCATTCCGAAGAAGTCGGGTGGCCACCGCCTGATAGTGCATCTGTCTGTGCCGGCCAGCGCTAGTATCAACGATGGCATTGCCGATGACCTGTACAGCCTCAAGTACATTACTGTGGATGTCGTCGTGGGGCACGTGATCCGTCACGGCAAGGGCGCGCTAATATACAAGGTGGATATCCGCCACGCATTCCGCAACTTCCCTGTCCACTCACACGATTAGCCCCTCCTAGGCATGGTGTGGGACGGGCAGTATTATTCGACAAGGTGCTGCCATTCGGGCTGCGATCTTCCCCAGCTCTTCTCAACCTGCTGGCAGATGCGCTATGTTGGATACTCCCGCACAACTATTCCCTGGCCGACCTCAAACACTATCTGGACGACTATATCGGCGTTGCCCCGCCTAGCCCCTCTCCTCCGTCATCTACCGCAGCCATTCAACAGGCGACGCTGCTAACCGTGTTTGAGAACTTGGGCGTTCCAGTGGCTACCGGCCATGACAAGGTCGTCCCTCCAACGACTGTGATGACTGTCCTGGGGTTCGAAGTTGACAGTGTGGAGCAGGTGACACGGTTCCCCCAGGACAAGTTGTCCGCCCTCCACACAGCTCTGGCAACTTGGCTCCAGCGCACCGACTGCTCCAAGCGTGAGCTCCTGTCCCTCATTCGCACGCTGTCCTTCGCTGCCAAGGTGGTCCCCGCGGGCCGCACGTTCATTTGGCGCCTCATTGACCTTAGCACAGCGGCTTCCGCCATGTCTGCCCGGATCGCGATCGACGAGGAAGCGCGCCTCGACATCGCCTGCTGGCATCGCTTTGCGGCCGACTGGAATGGGAAGTCCTTCTTCCACGACCAGCCCTGGTCCTGTTCTCCTGACCTCTAGTTGTTCACAGATGCCCCCGGCGAGGGCTACGGGGGCTACTTCCAGGGCGACTGTTTTTTTGGAAGTGGCCGGAGGAGTTTGATCTCCTCAGCTAAGCGTTATTATGGTTAGGGAAATGGTTCTCATTGGTCTAGCTTGCTGCATTTGGGGTCCGTGCTGGGCAGGGAAGAAGCTGTTGTTTCATTGCGATAATGAAACGGTAGTTAGAGCTTGGAAGAATGGTTCATGTAGGAACAAGCAGGCCATGGCGTTGATCCGCTTTATGTTAGCTGTTGCTGCTTGGCGAAATTTCATATTGTATATCCGCCATATTGCTGGCACTAATAACGGCATTGCTGATGCTCTTTCTCACTTGCAGCTGACCCGCTTCCGTCAACTGGCGCCAACGGCGGCTGCTTCGCCAGTGCCATGCCCCTGCTGGACCGTGCTGCTCTAGGCCTTGAGGCTGATGCACTTGTAGCAGGTTCAGTGTCGGAACGCCCAGCGAGAATGTTCTCCACTGGCATTGATGCCTTCAATGATTATTGCGTTACACATATTGTCAATCCCCTTGCACCCTCCAATGAGGATATCGTGTTATTTGCTACCGAGCTATCCTGTACGAGGTGTGTGGCGACTGTGCGTGTATTTGTCAGCGGTACGGTATCATTTGCTGTGCAAGCGTGTTCCTGTGACTTGTATGCAGTCGGTCCGTCTTTCTGCAGTTCTCAAGGGCCTTGAGAGGAGGCAGGGTCCCGCAACCACAACGCGGAGAGGTCTCACTGGGCAAGATCTGGCCGATTTACAGCATTTCCTACTCCGGTCCAACTACAGCGAGTCGGACCGCGCAATGATCTGGGCCAGTGTCTTGACAGCGTTCCACGGCCTCCTGCGGGCGAGTGAATTCTTGGCACCGCTTGCAACAAGAGTCGATAGCACACGCACGCTAACCTGGCAGCAGATCAGCGTCCAGGTATCATCGGCAGTCGTCCGCTTGCGGGTGACGAAGACAGCCCAGCTGGGTGACGGCGGCCAAGTACAGCTGCGCGAGACGCGCGACGACTTCTGCCCTGTGCGTGCCCTGACCGCCTATCTAGACCTTGCGGGTCAGAGAGAGAGGCGATGGAGCCAGTGTTTGTGTTTGTGTTTGGCCGGTTTCTGACCAGGGAGGAACGGAACAAGATTCTGCAGCTAGCCCTGAGGACGAACGAGGTCAGCTCTCACTCCATGCGTATCGGTGGCGCTTCACTCATGGCGCAGCATGGGGCATGTGAATGGCAAGTAAAGCCGGCGGGCCGCTGGAGAAGCTCTGCATGCGAACATTACGTGCGGCAGGCAGCCTAGCTTGTAAGTTAGTGAGCGGCTCTCGCAATGTTAACCATGAGAACTAATGTGTGTATGCCTGCACAGGCACGGTATTACTGTGAGTAATTCGCTGCACTTGCAGCTGTGGCCACAAAGCTAGCTCGTCGTGGGTTGCGTGGAACAGGATGCCATGGTTTCTAGGACTACTATATTTTTGGGGCAAACGGGCCTCCTATTATGTCTGTATGTTGTGACGCCTGATGCCAGGCAGTCGTGTGAGCCCTCAGTGGGCGATTGGCTGCCTCGGTGGCCGTTTGTGTGGCCTCGACTGGCAAGATAATTAGTGTTGAAACGATCTCACCGGATACTCGTTAGCTCGCTCGCCAGAAACTCGGCTCGTTTGTGCGGCCAGCTCGTTTGCACTAACGGACACCATACAAGGTACTCCGTACACATGCCAGTACATGTCGACAGGGGAGACGTAAAATATTTTACGACTCCCTGGTCGATCGAGAGTCCAGTCCCGCGCAAAGTGAAAATCACTCGCAGTTACAGTGACTGAATGCCTGCACGACACTTGAGTTGTTTCAGTTGTCGTTGCAGCTTTGGTGGACTTTACTGATGTCTTGTTCCGCATCTGCTGACCTGCCGCAGGATATGCTTCGGTCACCTCTCCATTCGAGTGAAAGTAAAATAGTTACGCTCAGTCGTTTGGAAGTTTTCTCCCGCGATGCAGCGAAGAACAGGGCTACTTGCAATCTTTGCAAAACGGTCTATTCTTACAAAGGCTACTCGACGACGGCGCTGAAAAGACATCTCGACACCAAACAGCAGTATGAAGTGAAGCAGCAGCAACCCCAAATGCCGGCGGTGATAATTTGAACCAGCTGAAAAAATTTCGAACTTAGAAAAAAAATATTCAAAAAATCATATTTGCCACATCAATGAAACTCATTAGCTCGCTCGATAGCTTGCTCGTTAGTGGAACAGATCGCTCGTTTGTTATAGATACGCTCGTTTCAACACTAAAGATAATATCGGCCCACGGTGGGCAGTTTGCTGGCCTCGGTGGCAATTTGCGTACCCTCGATGGCAATTTGCGCACCCTCGATGGGTTGTCTGCTGGTTTAGCCCTCGACGGGCGGTTTGCTGGCCGCGGCGACCATTTAAGCACCCTCGGTGTTCAGTATGCTAGTTTAGCCCTCAGCGGGCAGTTTGCTGGCCTCGGCGGCCATATGCGCGCCCTCTGTGGGCAGTCGGCTAGTTTAGCCATTCGGGCGCCCTCGGTGGGCAGTATCCTAGTTTAGCCCCCGGCGGGCAGCTGCTGGCCGCGGTGGCCATTTTTCCGCCCTTGGCGGGCGGATGCTAGTTTCAGGCATGCATCTTCACTCACTCAATTATTATCAAAGAGCATATTCTTGAATATTTGAATTGTCCAAAAGAAATCCTGGCAACCCCCAACCCAATGTGTCTATTGTATGTTTGTGCACGCCATAGTGAGCGGTACGTCATGCGGGTGTCTGCGTGTCAGAGCATGGGTACGCCAGTGGCGTGTGCGTGCATGTGTTCGCTTGTGTCTGACTGCGTGGGTGCACGAGTGCCCAAGCTGGGCGTGCGGGTTCACTTGGAGGTGCTTGCATATTTACGGGTGCAGGGATTAACCGTGTACTTACCCTTGCATTCACTCGCGAACTATCAAACACGTCCTGTGCCGCATGCTGATCAGGTAGGGGCTACCAGTGCCATGTATGTGTTGTACAGTGTACTCTCAGTTGATATGCCCCCTTTCGAACCCAGACAATCTTTTCGGGATTGGTCTATAATGCCATCTTTCTGTCTTCAGGATGCTGAGTCGAATGGTCTTGGTCCGAGGAATTTGAGACGCTTCCTCCTTTATCCCGAATCGAACTCACGCTCTTCCACCGAAACTGGGTGACCCTATCAGAGGGGGATTTAGGAAAGGGTTTGCTCCCACACTGGAGCTCCCGATATTCCGACGACTTGACTTGACACTTGACTCCGGTGTGGCAGCAAACCCTTTCCTAGAAAAAAATTATCGCCGAAGTCGCAACCACTATTTCATAGAGGGGGGGGGGGGGGGGGTTGTATGCAAAATGTCACTAAAAGCGCCAGTTCGTTCTTATGAAAGCACGGATGGACACGATTGGCCCATAATATGTTGTAGTCTTTTGGATGCTGAGTCGACTGGTATTGTTCCAAGAAGGCTGCGATGCAGTGTTTGGCCCTTATTCCCAAATAAAACACGGGTGAGTAAGCGGTCACGTGCTTGTCCGTACACCAGTCACCTGGTCATCGTGCCTGCAGGCTACAACATTTTTATACCAAGGTTCAACCCAAAGGTTCAAAGGGGGTTCAACTCGAGTGACAGGAATGCGCCCAAACAGGCTGTAATTTGTAAGGAGCTGAGCTGCTCACTTTGCACCAGCTGTACAAGTCATTGCCTGCCTGCTGGTTGTTTCACCTGCTGCTTATTCTTCCAGCCACGAACGCCACATTGGAGAGGTCATTCAGTGCACTTCGCAGCCTGAAGACGTTTATTCAATCCACACAAGACCGTGTCAATCATCTTTCTCCAAGTTATGAGAATTCGTATACATCTAGAGGTTATACCAATGATTTCATAGAGATTTTCGAATGGACACACTAAGATATGAGGGTGAGTCAGCAGATTTTGGAATGTGTTTAATATGCGGCGCTGTGCCACGATCACTCACGAATCTGCGACTTCGCCAAAAACATTTCAACTGACGATGTAATTGTATAACCTGTATAGGTGCACTACATGTACTGGTACATTGTAGTAACTTGATTCGGTCATATCATTTTAAGTTAAAAATGTCTCTCCGGACCAGTCAAATATGTGGCAGCTACAGCCCGGGCATACATGATGCCGTGCACTATGTACCCATGCGCACATCAATATTCAGTACATGAGGACAAATGGTTTGGTGTCCTTGAAAAATACTTGATATCACAAGAGTTTGTTGCAAAGCACATTTGATTGGTGCATTCCACCTCCAAAGCTCACCTGATCTCGGACATTAACGTCGACACCATTTTTTATCAGCAGCTCACACAGTGCTTTATGTCCACGGAACGCGCAGACATGTAGAAGTGATACTGGGCCGCAGCTCTATTAGGTCACCATAGCAACAAACACACACATACCCACATACACATTCTTACAATCACTTGCAAAGCAAACAAGTTCCAGATTTTTCCTTTCTATTGCAGCATAGTACCATGCACATGTACTCGAAGTACAATTGACTTCTCCAAGAACACAGCATATCTCAGCTTAGTGTGTGTGTCGTAGAGGACGTGGACATAGTAAATGCTGGCTGGAACTTGACGTGAGATCCACAAAAAAACACTTGCATCAGCGGTGCCTATGAACTGAACTCATAACCTCAGATTAGTGATACAAAGAGTACATAACCCCAAGAGTGTACAACTGACCACACAGCCTTTATCCAGTGCTGCCATGCCAGAACTTCACATCACTCGTGGTTCAAAAGGTTACGCTGGCAAGCAGTGCAAAGTGACCACAGGAGATTTGAACCCAAAACAGGATTGGGTTCAACCCTCTATCTATCAAGCACAGTGTGAAATTCCTGTGTGCAAGCTCGTCATGTGATGTGAAGTTCTGCCATCTCATAACCTGTTACAACAAAACTGCAGTAGCACACTCTTGGGGGTTGTGTACCCTTGGGAGAACTACAGTACCTTTTCCCTTATCGTTCACCTCTACTAAAGTATACCCACTGGCCAGTGGTTATGTTGTAGCTCTACTAAAGTATACCCACTGGCCAGTGGTTATGTTGTAGCTCTACTAAAGTATACCCACTGGTCAGTGGTTATGTTCTACTTGGTTCGACTTACTAAAATGTGCGCTTCGTTTCCGAAGCCTACCAAGCAAATTCAAATTATCTCAGGACCGAATAAACTTCCCAGCTACCTAACAGTGTCCTTCAGTTGTTGATTTGTGACTTTGAGGAAGGAATGGCTCAAAACTCCAAAGGAGGCAGCACCTCAAACTCCTAGACGACTCGTGCGTTTCGCGTTCAAATGTTGTCGTCAGAGGACTCTTGTTGCTTCACCTGCAACACTGAGAAGGCCTGGTGCTGATATCAAGACCCCCAATACAATGGAGAATTGTCACGGAGTACCAGGAAGTCCAGGGCGATCGTTCTTGATTCCCTCCTGACAGATTAAAGTCGCTGCAGTCTCTGTTTCCTGGGCAGAATTTTCTGCAAACGCGTCATCCAGAAACTAGTGCAGCAGCACAATCATCGGGTTGTCCAGCTAACTGATGTATCTCGCAGTCGTCCACGATGTGGGCGCCGACGACTCAAGATCGCCGAGAAACTGATCGAAAAAAACAACCACCCCTGGAGTCGCATTTCCCACGAGAAACTGGCTGGAAAACTGAAATGAACAAACAGTGAAGTTTTCTGCGCATGCGGTTCGTGGATGGTGTGGAGTTTTCGGAGCCGCGAGGCGTTATCGTTGCACCAAGCCAATGCTAAAGCTCCATCTCGTCTCCAGTGACAGTGTACTACTACCGGTAGTGGCCCATTGATTTATACACCAGGGATGAGCGCATACTTTCGGACTGTATGACACAGACTGTCAGTAAGCGGAACAAGGTGATGAAAAGTAATCTGGTACGTGGTGGTTTACTTGTTCGCCTCATTTGAAGGTTTCGTGGCAACGTCGGGTGTAAACCCCTATAGCTATTCTGACAGTTGCACTGCACGAGGGAGAGGCGAAGGCGATCGTCAAAATATAATGATAGACAAAATTAAGGAAATGCAGCGTAGCTTGAAGGAGACAAAAACTGGCTATGTTTTGCAGGGTGACGCGCTTGCAGATGCGCCCAGAGACACCAGCAGCGATGAAAACTAGAAGGTCAGCCCAAGAGACGATACAGTAGATATCTATCTACCATCTCTTGGTTGAGTTTTTAGTTGGTTTGTATTTGTATTTATGGATTCTCCACAGGCCGTAGCCTAAGTCGAGGGAGTCTCCTTCAACAGCTTATGAAGAAGAAGCAGAGGAGAAAAAAAGAAAAAAAATAGAAAGATGCGGGGTGGTAGTAATATAACACACTGCTCTATGACTACTCTACTTGGAATGAAACCAGAGGGCTCGTCACGGATGATAGCAAAGTGTGTGCGGACAAGGGCGGTAAAACATTTTTGGGCTGGATACAGTACGAATGGCAGCCGGGAGGGAGTTCCATGTGGCAGTGGTGACAAAGAGAAAGGTGGCACGCGTGTGTGTGCTGACTCTAGCAGGTGGGAGTAGATGTTGGGGCGCCTGGCGCTGTTTGCCACTGAGTAGCCTAGGTCCTCCAAGGTCGTCATCTGGCTATTGATAAGGTGGTGGAGCTCAAGAAGGCGCTGAATGTGTCTTCGCCATGCGAGGCTGGGCCACTGTAGGTGCGCGAAAAGTGAGGCTTTCGGCTCCGTTTGAGGAGGGTACATGCCATACTGCCGCAGGATCAAACGTGCCACTCTTGTCTGTAGCCGTTGAAGGGTAGTAGCCTGAGCACTGGAGAGTTAAAATTGCCAGAGGGATGAGGCGTATTCAACCACAGGTCGAGCATATCCAGTGTACAAGCGGCTGGCTACGGCTGGGGTGATACGCTTGATCATGTGGATCAGCAGGACCGCTCGCTGGCGAAACTTTGTCGTGATGGTGGCGACGTGGTTGGTGAAGTAGTTCTGGTGCTCATTTGTACAAATGATTGAGTTTTGAAGTGAAGCGCACATTTGAACAAGCCGGACAAAGTAGCTCAACTAAAGTAAACCGTGTGTACAGTAAAACCTTCAACTAACGACCCCCCCCCCCTTTGGTGCCAGAAGAAATGGTCTTTAGTGGCATGTGGTCTTAAGTTACAGGTTTGAACCGCGCCACCATAATTCCATGTCTGATATGCATGTCAAAATGCAGCTAATGAAAATTCTCACCACTTGCGCAATGCCATTTCTCCTTTGAGCAGTAGCATCGATCATAGAGCAGGTTCGAGCAATTACTCTCCAAGACGTTTCCTATAATGTTTGCTCATGAGAGCACTTGAAACTATGACAGGTGCAGTGCAGCCCATAGTCAAAATGAGATTGCGTTCATTCATGCAGCTGTAGTATCGAAAGAGTCCATTCAGGACAGAAAATCATCAAAATTTCGAAGAAGGAGCTTCGAACAACCTTTTTTTTCCTGCACTGCTGTCGCTAGTTACTGGTCAAAATCGACTTAGGGACAAGAAAAGGCGGTCGCTGGATGCGTTCAGCAGGTAGTCGCTTATCACAGTGCATTTTTGTATATGAGACTGTCCGTGCCTGGCGAAGTGATCTGTAGCAGCAGGCTGGCTGTTAGTCACGGTGGTCTTTAGTGACAGCTTTTACTCTATTATGGCTTTGAGGCGCAATGTTCACCACATTTACAAAGACAGGAACATTCAATTTTCTAGGAACATCTTTGACAGCGAAGTGACGCTGTATGAGCACGTGCTCAAACCAGTGATCAGAACAAACAGTTTCACGCCGAGCACTTCGGCCAGTACTCACCTCTCGGTGCCAATTGTTGTAATTGAACATAACTTTGCCGTGCAAGAGCGACGGATCACACCAGAGTAAAAACTGGACACAATGAATGCTGCCATAGTAGCATGCTGCCAGAATCAGAAGAGTCTGAGCATGCAAGCACAAATGCGCACGCACGCACAAACAAGCACACAGATACGTACGTACATGCATGCACACACGCACACGCTGACATGCTCACTCTCTCTCACACACACACACACACACACAAACACACACACACACACACATACAGATACATACACACACATAAACACACATACACACACACAAAACACACAAAAAAACACACAGATAAAGATACACACACGGTAGCATGTTCAAACACACGTACACACAAACATACAAACCAACACAGACAACACACAAACACACAGACGATTGCATGCTCGCACATACACGCACGCACACGCACGCACACACACACGCACAACCCACAGCAACTTGCGGTGCGGAGGAGTGCCGGCCAGCGGAGTGAGAGGCTACGGAAAGAAATACGTAGACACTGCCGGAGCAGAATATTGGCGGAGCCAAGTATCTACGAGAGAGGATTCAGGGTCGGCCGGATAGACACTGCCGGAGAAGAATGTTGGCGGATGTTGGCCCTGAGTAGCCGGAAATGAGCGTGGCCAACACCCCGTTTATTCACTTTATCAAAGCAAATTAGTGATGAGAAATGGGAGGTGGGAGGGTGAAACACTACGTGCAAGCAAGAATGATCATCGCACAGAACGGATCGAAATATATAACAGAGCAAACTCTAGCAAGACATGCAGTGATGCATGCCACCCACGTTGAGCGCTACAAGCAAACGTCATCATGACGCCGCCACACGCTGCCCACATCGGAGGCGAGCGACACGTATGAACGCCACGTAGAGAGACACGTTCAATGTCACGTAGAGAGATTCATTCAATATCATGCAGAGCGCCAAGCCGCACAGAGACCGTAGCCAGCAGCAAAGCATGAGCATGCAGTAACTGAGCACAATCAAACATAGCAGCATAGATTGAGCGGTAGCGCAAAGCTGCGTGCCCCCATTAATCTGCATTATCACCATAATGCTGCTTAGTCCGCATCAGCAATATTGTTGCTTATCTTTCAGCTTTGTTTTTATGTCGCCAATGCTCACTTGGCAGCCCATTTCATCCCAATTTTCGTTAGTAAGTTAGTTTACTAGTACCTGAAAGGTCTAGCTAGATTTCGAATGGATTTCGAGAGCGACGGGTGGGTGATTCTGATGGATACAGCGCCACATCAAAATAGATTATCTTGTCACACTGGGCAGGCAAGAGCAGCGCGACGCACAAGAAAGTAACCGGCTACTCGGAATCAGTTCCATTTTGCAAAACGGCCGAGATCGCTCACCTCAGGAATCGCTCGCCAATCTGAGATCGCAGTTCCCTCACTTCCAGCTGAACGCTTGGAGTATCCAGCGCGTCGTGGAGATTTGCAAGTACTGTAGCCATCGTCGTTGTTCAAAATAAATCTTGCAAAAGAACGGCGACTGATTTGAACCACACAGGCAGTCGTGCTGCCCACGCAAAGTCCTATAGAGAAGGCGACAGTCACGGTCGACTTCCCTTTAGAAAATAACCAGGCAGCGGAGAGGGAGAGAGATGAACTTGCGAAAGCGAGAGTGTTGATCACGAGCAAAAAGTATTTGTCACCAGCGCCGAGAGCAGCGATGAGGAGGTCCAAAAAAGTATGAACCCTTCCTTGGACAATAAATTCCTCATGGCCAGTTGTCATTCTGTACCTTACCTTCCATCGTACCAAGTTCTATCGTCTCAAGTGCACGCGTTGATGTCCAAAGTCTCAGTTCAAATTGTCGAAAGATAAGCGACAATATTGCTGACGCGGACCAAGTTAACTACAACACACAGCAACTTGCGGTACGGGGAGTGCCGGCCAGCGGAGTGAGGGGCTACGGAAAGAAATACGTAGACACTGCCGGAGCAGAATTGTTGGCGGAGCCAAGTATCTACGAGAGGATTCAGGGTCGGCCGGGTAGACACTGCCGGAGCAGAATGTTGGCGACAAGAGTCTGCATCCGAGGGACGGCGACCGAGGCCCTGAGTAGCCCGAAATGAGCGTGGCCCATAATGGCCGGCAATTCCCGCACCGAAGAAGCCACAAGCGCAGTTGTGCAAGCAGCAGGGGAGAGAGAGGTCGCCCAGAGTGGAAGGTAAGAAGTAAGGTAGAGGCAATAATGGATCGTGCATTGACTCAGCATGAAATATAGAATCAATGAGGCCATCGCCAAGAGTCCATGCAACACACGCGTGAATACAGGGCACGTCACGCAATTAAATAGGGCCAATGTGAAGAGCCATAGAGAGACAGCAGGTCCGTCGGATCAGTGCGAATGTACCTCAGAACACAGTCACTTTGCCTCCTACCCATAGCACGTATTTTCCACACAGGAAAACCGTTTGCAGCAGCTGTTGTCGCCGCACCAATCCTAAAGGAGTGGCAACTATAATCAGCCACATTACTCACCCCGGACAACTGCAGGAGGGCTCTCAGTTTGGCAGTGAGGCGACGGCGAGTCAGCGGTGTGCCTGACTTGAACCGGAACAAGGGCTGCAACACCGGCGGCTTACTGCGTGACAAGTAGTCGACCATGGCGACAGCGAGACAATATTGTGGCGTTGCTGGCCCGATGTATAGGGTCATGCCTCTGGCGAACGGGTCCGTCTTGGACCGCTTCATGACAAACTGTAACGCGGGCACCGGCAGCATCGGCACCGGCAGCATCAAATCTCAGGTGGAACGGTGCGTGGTCGCTTACAGTAAACTCAGCGCACCGCAGGAAGCTGTGGAACGCCAACAGGATTGCGGCTTGTAGCATTACACGATCATCTGAAGTAGAAGTCGGGTCATTCCGCAATCGGTCCCAAACAGACCGAATCAGTTCTCTTGTCAGTGGAAGACGAGTCATGGACGGAGCAGTGCCCTTCACTCTCTTAATGTCCTTGAACACGCGCGGTAGCAGGGTAGCGCCTGTCCAAGATCATCCATGCCACATTCGAGATGCAGATTACGAACGGCCGAGATGTAATTGGCCACTCTACCTGGCTTCACAGATCTCGCCAAGTAGGCCGCAAAGCTCGATAACATACTGTCTGTCGCCGGCAACGGGTCCCACTGGCATAACTGGCAGAACTGCCGATAGCGCTGTTCTCCATGACGGTATGATGCCCTGGTAGATGGCGCAATGGCAAGGGACGCGCAACGAGCTGTTTCGCTGCTTAGTCCCAGGAGGGAAGGGGCACTGGCGTATCCATCCCCTGTTGAGCCCGCGGGGCGAGCATCCGAAATTCCTGCAGTTTAAAACGAGAGAGGGCATCCGCAATTGCATTAGACTTGCCAGGCACATGACGGGCTACGACACAGAAGTTGTGCCTCGCACACACAAAGAACAGTTTACGGACAAGGGCCATCACAGGTGGCGACTTTGACGTGCCTGAAGCCAAGCAATCAACCACGGCCTGACTGTCGCAGTGGAAAGCTATGCGAAGCCGGCACCACATGTGTCCCCACGTGGCACACGCGACGAGAATAGGAAACAGTTTCTTGTACTCAATGGACCAGTCCATGGTGTCTTGCTCCCAGCGGCTGAGCATCCACCTGCCCTCGTTGGCATAATAGGCGCCCCATCCAAGGGTGCCACCAGCATCAGTGTATACTTGAAGTAGATCTAAGCCTACGGTACTGGAAGTCTCGGCTTGGTACAGGAAGAACGACTTGCCATTCCAACTAGCTAAGAACTCCTGCCACCACAGAAGGTCCTTACGACAGTCGCTGCTCAAGGTAATGCGGTAATGCCGAGGTACCTTGCTGAACTTCTTAGCGGTGTCCCATAACCTGCGCATAAACGTGCGGCCCGGCACAATAACCTGCGCAGCAAAATTGAGCTTGCCCAATAGAGAGACGAACTTTGCTGCGGGGATGGAGCGAGTTGAGCTAGCACCGAGAACGAGTGTTTTATATCCGCTAGCTTATCATCTGGTAGCCGAGCTTCGAAACGGTCGGAATTCAACGTGATGCCAAGGAATGTCAACTCCGTCACAGGGCCCTCCAGCTTCTCCAAGGCCAGGGGAACGCCGAGGTAGATAAAGGCTTCTGCAATAATAGAGCGTTGCTTAGACGCGAGGGACAAGGAAGGCGCAGGCACCGAGAGGTAGTCGTCCAGATAATGCATGATGATCGGAATGGCGAACTGGTGACGCAAAATCCACTCAACGGCTTCCGCAACCTGGTTGAAAATGAACGGGCTAGAACGCAGACCAAACGGTAACATCCTCTCGAAATAGTACTGGTTCTGCCAATGAATGCCCAACAGCCGCCAGTCATCAGGGGAGATTGGAATGAGTCGGAACGCGTTGCAGATGTCGAGCTTCGTCAATAGGGCGCCGCGGCCCACTGACATGATGGCACGAACTGCATCGTCGACGTGGATGTACCTCTAGCTGAACTTGTCCGCTGGTATGCCGTCATTTACGCTGGACCCTTCCGGTGCCGACAGATGGTGAATTACACGAAGACGACCGTTTTTCTTCGGTACAATGACAAGCCCAGATGACTGCATGGGGCTAAATGGTGGCGGGGTAAATGGACCAGCTGTCATACCGTCCTTGCAGCAACGTTGGAGATAGTGCGAAATATTTTGTGAATGAGGAGCTGAAGAAGTGAGATTCAGGGCTCCTACAGTCTTACGCTGGCCCTCAAAGCCGAGAGAGAAACCGTAAGCAAGGCCGTTGCATACACAATTGACGAATTGCTGATCAGGATGTGAAGCAAGCATGGACGCAAAACGGGAAATGTGCAGTGGCGTATGAACAGAATGTACAGTATTATGCAGTGTGCAGTGGATGGTGGCCTAAGTGTCGCGCTGGACACTGAAGGCTGCCATGATGTTGGCAGCCCTATTGCTTGGGTTTACCACCCGCCCCAGAGCTGGTGGTGATATCCTTGCATTGGGAAGCTGGGTGGCGACCGCGGCAGATTTGGCAGGTGTGGGACCTGGAGCAAGGGCCGAAGCACCGACCCGCATTGAAATTGCGGCAGACTGATTTTCCTGG